AACCTCCCTAAAAAAACTCCACCTTTTTTTCCTTTATCAGGCTTTGGCCTCAAATGAAGTTGCTGAATGCTTTGAGTATATTCCAACTAATAAGGTTTTCAACCCCCTGAGCATTTGTATTTCACTTTGAATTAATCTTTGTCAGATGAGCTGCAGGCATCACTAAAGCAAAGTGAACTGGTTGCATAAAACTTCAAATTCACTTCCTTGCGCCACTGGCCATGACAATACTATAATAACTAATATACAGAATAGAGAATTTCCCTATCTTCAGAAGATCCCACATACCCACTGTGGAACAAATTCCTACTAATTAAAAATCATTCCATGGGAAGGGTGGAAAAAGAGGTGGAGTATTCAAGTATTTTGAAAGATATTTAATTTAATTTCATTCTTTCAAGCAGCATTCAGTGCCCATACAATAGTCCAGATGGAACTGTGCAATTTATTTTAAGGATAACGTGCTGTACAGTCACGTGCATCTGTAGATATGGATAAAACCAAAAGAGAACATGCTAAATAAAACTAAATATGAAAAGTAGTATAACGGACTTCCCCAGTTTTCATTGTGAAATGAAAAGAAACAAAAAAAAAAAAAAGGAAGCAACAGGTACTGAAGAGAGTAAGTCAAGTAATTTACATGGTCTTACTTTATAATTAGAAGATTCAAGTTACACAGTTAAAAACATGTATTTCTGAAATGATGTCCTCTTCTCTCATGGATATAGAAATGATATATTTTGTTACCTTTTGTAATCTCCAGTAGAAAGTACTTCACACTGAAACACTCAGACCTATTCTGTTCCAATTTCAGTATGTTGTCTTTATCTAAAACACAGACACATGTGGTGGTGCGCACATCACCAGCTGCTCCCACCTTTTCAACACATCTCCACACAACCCCATGCAAGCAAACTGAGCTTTTACACTGCAATTTCTTCATTTTATATTTTAGTTTATGAAGGACAATCAGGCTTGTCCGGGTGAGCAAAACGACCATATTCTGTGGTCTCAACCTCTATGAGAATCTGTGTCAGAACACAAGCTAACGTATTCGCACGTTAACCGGCCAGGTTTTAACCTCAGCTTCCAACAGCCCTCAAGGAAAGGACCCAGGGTAACGTGTCTAACATTTCTCAATTCTTCAAATTCAAAGCAGGCTATTGTTACTGACAAAGGCTTTTTGTTTTCAAAAAGTCCACTACATACTGAAGATAAACAAGACAAAACAAAGGATTATTAATCTTCCTGAAAATAACAATGTTTGACAAGAAAAATAAGCTTAGAAACAATGCTCAGCCCAATATTACATTGACTTGCTCTCTTGCTTCTGCACACTTCGATCTGGGCAATTATTCTTCGTTTAAGATGTTCTTTCACGTTCCCTGATGTTTGTTCTAATAAGTTGCTATTTAATAGCATTTAGGCCAAGAAAAATAAAATAATTTGTATTTTATAGTGAGCTGCAAGCCACTTAATGCGATTCATTACAGCACAGATTGTCTTAAGAGATGCTTCACATCAGCCCTGCGTTATTCCAGTGCCGACTGCAATTCACACACCCAACAAATAATTATGCAAAAGCACATTATAGCAGTACTATTCTAATTGGATTGCGCCAGTCAGTAAAAATACATAGCATCTTGCAAACCAATACCCAGGAGCTTGTCATTTACAGCCCATCAGTACTGAACAACTTTCTACACAAACACTGATCTTGAGCATACATGCATAAGCAATAGTTTTTTCTCTCACACATATAGCCCTAACTTTAGAGGACTTTTTTTTTTCTCTCTGCAATGATTCATAAAGTGTACATTTCCAGAAAATCTCTTTCACATTAAATATCCCAAAACTTTGGAATTTGAAACTAACATGCTGAACTGGCCTTGTTAAGTATTTTAACCTGTTACCTAATATACAATTGTTTTCACAAGAAGTACTGATTTAGGATAAGCCAATGCAAGTTGCCACAAGGGAAATTCTGGCTAGATATGAGACAAAAAAGTTCACAGCAAGGGTGATGAAATGCTGGATGCCTAGCAAGGCTGCAAAATCTCCATCCTTGGAGATATGCAAAACTCGTACAAGATGGGGCCCTGAGTGACCTGATCTCACTTGGAAATTTTGGCCCTGCTTTGAGCAGGGGTTTGACAAGATGACCTCCTAAATTACTCTATAATTGTATAACAATGCAAGGGATGCCTATAGGCACATGGGAAGTATATCCACACCAGCTGTCTTACTATCTGCTTGCTGCTTTTTCATCTTACAGAGAGAGAGAACAGAACGTGACTGGATGCAGACATAAGATCACTGTACTTGAGGTATGATAGACTGCACAGCTTTAAAAGGAAGACACCCATCACTTTGTTCGGTTTAACAGTGAGCCTAACTCTCACTGTTAATTAACCGCAACCATTGTAGGAACATATTCTTCCCCTCAGTCCCTCTGGATATATAGCCTGCCCTGAAAGCAAGAAGTGGCAGAGAACCCATGCTGGAAACGTGCCTGCTGACCACCACGCAAGTGCAGCCCTGGGGTGCTTTCAGCCACCTAAAGTAGCAAGTGGTCTGGGGAAGAGATTTGAGAACCAAAGGCAAGGAAAGGACCACATGATAAAGTCAAGCGGTTGAGTCGCACAGCTGGATTGGAGATTTCAGTCTGTGCTCCCAAGGCAGCTTGCGCATTTTTCAACAGAGCAGCAGGCACAGCATATACAACGCTTGGGCAGATTTTTGAATGGGATTTACCTGACCAAGAAGCCACATCATGGAGAGAAAACACCTACGAGGTGTTTTTAATTCAGAAACAGCCACTATCTCCTGCAGAGAGGAGAGAAGCCACTATCTCCCACAGAGAGGAGAGAAGCTGCTGAATAGGCAGTGGTACTCACTGAGGCTTCTTTGAAAGGCTGCATCAGCCAGGTTGTGACACATTCGTACCAGCTCACTTTGCTTTTAAGTTGAGAAGGAGGGGAAGAAAAAAAATAAAATCTAGCACTTCATCGATGGAGTTGCCAATTCCCTCAACAACTATGACCACCAGGTCTCTCTCTCATCTTAGCTGAGTGCTGTAACTATTAATCCTCTCCATTTTCACTCTCCCAGAGCCAGATCTCCTCTTGCCCGTTAGCTTTCTGGCATTTTGCCAGATTTCTGCCTTTGCATTCCTGGATACATTAAGGCCCAGCTTAAGAACTATGATGGAGCACACTCCCTGTCATGACACTGAAATCCTTGGCAGGCAAGAGCTTGCTCTGAGATTGCAGGTTCAGATCCAGACAGGCTGCAGAGGACCTAATGCAGAGGACTTTAGCCCTTACCAAGGACTAGCTTCCACGTGACCATGCCATAGGTGGGCATCTACACCACTGCCATTAGTTCTAGTCAGAAAAGGCTTTGGGGTTTGACAAGAGCACACAACTATAACCTGACATAGGAGATTTAAACTGTTCCTGAAAGGCTGTCACAGATGCCTGCCTACATGCGTGTTTACTTGTGCAGTCCAAACCAGCATTTTATTTTGTCCCCACTTGCAATAGGAGAACTCCAGCTATGGTATAGAGAGCAGAAGCACCCAATCATTGGCCCGGGTGACACAAAGTTGATCAACAAGCAAAACTAAAACAGAAAAGTTCCTCACAAGACATCTTTTAAAAATGAACAGAAAGGAAAGAAATTAATTCTAAATCTTCATTAAAGTTCTGAACCCATTTCACATAATGAATGCCTGTATTTCCTCAAGTCATTGTGTTATTCATGGTGCTGGTGAGCAAAGAACTCTGAGCAAGTTCCTCCTGAACCAGTACTAATTTAACTCATCTTTAAATAATTTCCAAAGAGCTAAGTGCAACTCAAATGTTGCATCAGCAATACGAGAGAAAAAAAAAAAATCTAAATATTCTTTTGTAAGTAAATCCAAAACTAAGAAAAAATTCAAATCAAAGCACAGGTTCTCAGACTGCTTGAGACCTTTTATTCCTCAATCTTGGAAACACAGGCACAAGATACTATTAAAACAAACTAACTTAATTCAAGAAACTATTTCCCATAACCTAATTTAAAATTTTAAACAAACCTCAAAAGAAAGGAATATGTCCTCTATGAAATGTTCTGCTGACTTCAAAAAAAACCTGTATAAATTAGCACACATGAGCAGCAATTTCTCATGAATGTTAATATAACCAAACTAAATCCAATAAACATGAAGGAAGAAAAAAATTGCAAGCAACGTAGTTATTGCTTATCTGGAAGAAATGCAAGTTAGGATAAACAGGAATTTTATTTTGTCCTGGTGACACAGCAGCAGTAACACTTTCTAAGTTCCATCACCAATGTCCCACTGACTGCCAGTACAGTTTAGGCCCTGAAGCACTTCTATTGCTTTTGTAAATAAAGAGGAGGTTATTTCCAAAAAGTTAACAAGAGTAGCTACTTTTCAATTTAAAAGAACAATATGCTGTGCATTTAACTGTAGGTGTCCCAAAAGTCTTCATGCTGTATCCCTTCCCCCATCACCTCGAGTCCACTGTCTAAGCCTAACACTCCTCACATCGGACTTTATTATTTTGGAAGTTCACTAAAGCAAGAAGCACCCCTAATACTTGTTTGGATGGTGCCTCGTACACACTTTCACTGTGAGAAATATGTTGTAATTACTGCATTACCAAGCTGGGGAAAAAATTCCATCAGTTACCTATCATCAGTTTAAACTATTTCTTGTTATTAACAGTTGATGGATACATATGCTTTCTGCAGGTGACTCTCTACCATAAAAAATATTAAGTGCATGACATTCAAATAACTACAAAGCCTTCCTTCCTGAGGAAGTATATTAATATTAGAACTTCAACATCTGTTCTTAGAAAATTTTAAAGCATCTGAATCCAGCTAATTAGCTGGCACAATTATGAAGAAAACAACTGACAGCCAATACAACAGTACATTGGGAAGATACAAGACTCTACATCACTGACAGCATACTGAAATTTAAATACCTCTTTACTGTCCCTGGAAGATCCAGACTGAATGGAATTTGATGGGAGGATGCTAAAGTGTCATCCACAGCTTTGCTTATTTCCTGTAGTTCTTTCAAAGAAACACAGCCAAGTAAAGCAGTCAGTTCACAGTCCTGTGACTGAATAAGCCTATCTTGTTCTTCAATTTCTCTTCTTAGCTGTTGATCTTTTGCTTCTAATATGGTCAGTCTTGCTCGGAGGTCTTCAATTTCTTTCTGCATAGAACAGAAGCCTGAGTTTACTATGAATCCTGTTAAAGAAACCCCTCTGCCCCTAGAAAAATGCAGTACAAGTCTCAGGAGTAGCATAAATTAAGGTTGTCCAAGTTAGCACAACATTAAATGAGAGAATTTGATTGCATTCCTACATTTCTTACAGTCTCTGTGAAACTTTGCAAGCCACTTAAAATATTATCTCCACACACAGCCACAGATTGAATGTCTACCATTTTCCATACAACCAACACGAGGGGTCTCTGAAGTGCTATCTATAGATTCTCAGCAAAAATCAAAAGCTCATAATTCCATGCTCTGACCATATTCCATCCAGCTACAAAGAACAATTAAAAAAAAAAAACAACACCCCAAAACAACCCAAACACATACACCAAACCTTTTTCAGGCAAATAACTAGGCATTACAAAACTGCCTTAAGAAATGACCATGTAGCTTTTTATGGTAATTCACTTCTTCATTCTCTGTAAAATGGCAGTAAGAATATCTCTTCACCCAAAGCGACGTTATGGAGATAAAATTAAGTGGTTTATGCATCACTCAGATGCCATGTTGATTAACGCTGTAAAAAGAGCCCATTCACAAATTAATAAATCTGCATCCAAAAGGGGGTTTGAGCAGCATACTGTAAAAGGGTTCTGGGGCCAAATGCTGAGTAATGAAAATAAAGTGATATTCTGAATATCTGAAGAAGCACTTTCCATCTTCAGCAATGTATGAGGCAGGGATCCAGGGAAAAAAAAAAAGGCATTCTCATATAATTACTCTCATAAAACATATATACTTTGCACAGATAACTGAGTCTGGCATTTCTTTGCTTTTTGAGTGCTTCACTTTGAAATCTCAACATTATTTTAATGTTTTCAATGTAATTTAAGTGAAGTTTGGTTCACTAGTGCTCATTTTGTCAACAAATATATTTTCAAGTTTGTTGCACTGCAACAAACTGCCTGAGTATCACTTAAAACAAGAAACAGTCCTTGCATGTTAAAAGGTTGACTGGCTCAAACATTTCAACTTATATTAGTCCTGCACACTAGATTAATCAACTATTTTCCTCCTTTTTTTGGTTTTAGATTTAGCGACAAGAGAACACAGTGATCCATGTTTCAACCCACAGGCATTTGTCAAGAACAGAAAGGTCAGCAGGTCAAAAACATCAGTTTTGTTTCTTTCAGTCTCAAATCAGGCTTTTAGTGTGCACAAAGGACAATTCTGTCTCTGTGTTACTGGCTTGGGAATACTGCCAAAATCTTAATAGGCCCCACTTAATACAAAGACCTTCATATTCTTTGAAAACATAGTAATTGCAATCACTGCAATAAGCAACCTACATGGGAACAGAAAGGGATGTGAACAGAATTTGGTTTTACAAACACACTTTTAGCACTGAAATGTTTTTACAACATAAATAGATACCAGAAGCACACAATCTGCATTCACAGAAAGCTGTTCTGCTCGGGAATAGTTCACAGGCATTCTTGAGTGAATGGAAATTTTAGTCAGTAAACTGGAACTCTCTCACGTTCTTTTCCAGAAACGCGAAGAAGCCTTTAACGTCCTCTTGATCAGCCTCCAGGGACAGATAAAAAGGACTTAAAGTCTCAGCATGGAGCAGCAGATGATATTCGGCTCACTAAACATAAACTGGAGTTTTACTTTGTGGATTTGAGTTTAAACTGAGATTTCTAACATAACAGCTAATCACTACTGATTGTAAGCCTCCAGCTTCACTTATGGTCTGGTGTTCTCCAGGAAGTACAGACTGCAATAGAAACGTCAATACGTACATTTTAGGTACTGTCACAGGCTCTCAAATCCCTGAAGACAAATGCAGAACCAACAGGAGAGAGGGTAGAAGGAAAGGAAAGTAGGGCTAAGGAAAAAAAAAAAAATAATGATCTCGGATCCTATGAGATTTTGGGCAGGAACAATCCATGAGGGATGCTAGGAGCCACCAAACATCACAGGTCAGCCTTCTCCAGAACCTCAAATTCATGATAATTTTGATCAAATGCTCATAAATAACATGCCTGTACAACGATGGGGCTAATTTATCCCTAGTGTAACTACGTAAGAATGAAGATTCACCAGGAGCAAGTGTAAAAACATTAGCTGGCGTGGACTCTAAGTACAGCAGTTTTCAGTTGAATAGTTTGAGGTGGCCAGCTAGATATCTAGATTATCAAAAATAGTCTTCCGGACACTGACAATGTTGAACTACACTATGTCTGCTCTTATATGTTGATGAAATAAATCCAAACAACATAAAAAGGTGATGACTAGGATAGAAAAGTCATTTCTTCATCTAAGTAAGGTTTTGCTAATGGCCACCTATCTAAGATGCTCTTCTCCATTTCTTTCGGGGGGAGGGGTGTATTTAGGTGTATACAAAACACAGATGATTACACTATCTGATTCACCAAAGGAAGAAAAGTATTAAAAATAATGAGATTTCAAGACAAGATCACGGGGGGGAAAAAAAAAGAAAACTAGACCTACTAGCTCTCTAAGATGTCACATTGCCAAGTGTGATTGCAAAGGTTTAAAAGGAAACGAAACAAAGACTTGTACTAGACAGTAACCTGAGATTTTTGAAGGACAGTGAAAAGAAAGAGCTAAATTTTGCTTAAAAGGCTTGCAGACTTAAAATTGGAAAGAAGCCATCTTAAAAATATTCCATTTGCCAAATTACCACGTTGTGACATCACGTGTCAGTGTAAAGTTATTGTTGGCAAATGCCAACTGCTCTGTGATGATTCCTTCATCCTTATGAAACACATCAATCATCTTTCAGGAACAAAAGCTGGTAAATCATGCATTTATAGTAAATTCTAATCAGAAATGGATGAAAGATTGCTTCTTTCAAAATTTTTTGTCTTCAAATAGCTTCTGAAGATCAGCAAAATATTGAAACGGCAAATTAGAACATAAAGAGCACACTTAAAAAGATAATGAGGAAAGTTAAAGCATGCACACAAGCCACCAAGCCTTCCAGTTCTGCTTCTCTGTAATGAGATTAGCACAACTCCTGTGGCTGCCATCTCCAATCATCACTTAGATTATCAACTGGACTACAGCCAAGGCTCTAATTGCTGCACAGAAGCAAAGTCACTATTACAATAAATTTATTTAATTCTGTGTGACAGCTTACAAGCTTTTCCCCACACAGCACTGGTTCTTATAGACAACTTTGCGGTCCTGTTACCTGTAACCATTTCTTTTCTTGAAAAAGTTGGTTTCGTTTTGTGGCCGAAACCTGCGTCCTCTCCTGGTAAGTAGATCTCCAAAGTTTATGTTTGTTTTCATGCCAAAGCTTGGTTTCTTCATGTCTAACCCTTTGAAAAAAATGACAAAAAGCTAAAAATTAGCATTATCACTGAGTATCGACATCTCAAAGATTAAATAGATCAGAATGTTACCTGTTACTTTCTGAGTCATAACACTCCACCACCAGAATGATTACATCTTAAACAGATACAGTTAGAGAACAAGAGATTTTTCCTTGGCATATCTTCCTTTATTATCTCAAACATTTACACTGTTTTTACAACACGCTGAAGAAGGAAAAAGGAAAACTTGTATAGCTTTAGGCTTCCCCCAGCTTTTTCATATTTCAGAAATTTATCCATCACTGCCTTGAAAGAGACAAAACTAAGGCATGCAATTTCTATCAATACAGAGAAAAATCTCTCTTAGACAGAAGTTTAGAAGCTTGCCAAAGCCATTTTTGCAGCTTCTGTCAGCTTTTGGAGACTACATTAGAGATCATCTGGAGTGTTTGCTCCACGATGCCAAATTTTACTTCTCTCTTGCACAGCGAGTTCTTTCAAAATTGCAGTCAGTGGGATTCCTCACAGTACAACCCTCAGCTGTAAATCTTTGCATGATTGGACCCCAAGGTAATCAGGGCATTACACTAAGTGTCAAGTCTATAATCAGCCTCTCAGAATGCACCTGCAAACAATGCAAACCTATTTTGTCTTGCACATTCCTGCATAAAGGCATGCACGCTTGCAAGGCCAATTGCATTTCAGTGTCCACCTCTAGAGGGCAAGTGCAGGCATTTCCACACAAAGGATATGGATGCACTTCAATATTTTGCTTAAAAAAAAAATACTGTCTCAAACAAAGGATGTTTTTGAAGCATGATTTCCCATCATAATCTTGCAGAGCAAATACATCCATGGCACACACAAAACATGCATCTCAAGTCTGGTTTAAGCATAATTAATCACACAATTATGATCTCCATGCACAGCTGTTTAACAAGTGTGTAGAACAAGAGGCTCCCATCTCTTCTGCAGGACCATCAGAAGGCACACATGCTTTACTCCCTCTCTACGGGCTGAAGAATGTACTAAAAAGCAAAATAAAACTCTGGCACTAAAATAAATGGCATTAATACTTAAACAAAATAGACATAATTACAGTGTAACTGTATTTCTGTAATAACAAAATAGATCAGAGAGACACCTGTGTTACGAGGTGCTGGGCCATCACTGTGTATGCACCTTACAATCATTATAGATTGCTGCGGCTCCAGCTGACCACACTTCCCAGCAGCTCTGAAGCCTTCTTTTAGTAAGAGCTGCATCTTTCTGAGCACTGTATGCAACAGAAATTTCTGCGCGGCTGGTCAAAATTTAGGAAACATTCCACAGTAAACATAGGTTACTCTCAGAACCTCCTTGGAAATCATCTGCCTAATTGGTACTGAAGAAACAGAAACAATCTCTCTGATCTCACCAAACCTAGGTGATTGCACAAACACAGTATTGTTCCTAAGCTAAGCATCATGAAACCTGGCCGCTACCACCTGCCCCCAATATCCTGTGTCAACACCGAATGCATTCACATAAAAATTCATCTCATCATTTAATCAAGTAAAACAAAACCAGGGCATGAATTTCAGTCTCACATATTAAATGACCTGCTATACACACTTTTCATTTTAAAAGTTTCTTTATTTGCAAAAAGATGAGACTGGCTTAGCCGCAGGAAAACTGCGATGATCTGGTCTTCTGGGGACAGTCTGATCATCTTTTTAATTTTCCAGGTGAAAAAAAAGAAATCTGGGCTATACTGGTTATGTTCTGATTCAAAATGAAAATAAAAGCTGAAGCCTACAAATTTTCCCTGAAGAAGTTGTCATGTGTTTTCCACCCTGTACTATCTAAAAATGCTGTTGAAACAGAAAAATTTTAAACACCCCTACTGAAGACAAAGGGTACACTTGCTGCATCAACAAGAGTCAGACCACAAAGCAGCGTGAAAGGCTACAAGAATCAAGCAAGAGAAAGAAAGGGTGTCACGACAACAGCCAAACTCAAAAGAAACGAGTGTGCACAAGACAGAAAAGTGAAGAGGATATTCATCTGACCCGAAAAGCGGCACTGCTCTCAGACCTGTTCAAAGAGAAGAGTTACAGATATAATCATACAAACAGGAACACTTTGATAAATGTATATTATATAGATGATACATATTTTATATGTATAAATATACTACATATACATTATATAGGAAAAAAATAAGCAGACTACGTATTTCAAGGATGCTTTAGTGACTCAACGAAGACAACACCACCTCTAAAGCCAAAATCATTACTACAAATTAATGCATAATGTGAACACATCTTAACAACAAAACACAGAATGTTGTATCCTAATCTTTTAGGAATGCTAAAACAGCTTCTTAAGTCTTCAGAAGGTAAAAGGAAACAGTTCTGAGGGAGTGCAGTTTGGTTTAAACCTGCCTCATTACTAAATACTAGAGAGGCTAAAAATACCCTTAAAAGTCTCAAATATTTCAATAAAATCCTATTATCTGTACTGATTTTATCCAATTTTCATGGATATAAAAAGTTACATCCAAATGTATTGACTAGCACATTGCAGTCTTTACATGTACAAGCTGCCAGAAAACAAAATGTTTTTCTGCTTTAATTTGTGCCACTGCATTTGAGAACAGCTTCCAATACCTACAAAGAGTCCTCTTACTTCTAACAACAGTAACCAGTAGCATAGCTGAAGAAAGACCTAGAAATAGAGACAACTTTTTCTTCCTAAGCTAACTACCTCCCTTGGGTCATCCAACACATCTCACATTTCCCCAATCTTTGAAGTTGTTATTCCTTCAAGAGAAGGCTGAGCATTTATTTTTGTGACTTTGTACAGTGCTGAGCACATTACTGCCACCTAACAAGTGACGTATAAAAGAAAGCTCCCAAAGATCTATGCATATCAAAAATGAAGCTGTTTTTACTTTATATTTAAATATCCTTTAATTGCCTGAAAAGGAGCATCAGAATTAACTCCACAGGGAACTGTTGCTCAAGCTGCCTTGTTATTGTATGCTCAAGCTGCCGTGTCAAGGATTCAATCCCATTCCCACTCAACATCGGTGAGAAAAGTTCCATTTAATTCATCAGTTCATCATGATTAATGTTTTTCAGGGCAATTCTGAAAGAATTGTAGAAAGAAAAAACAGGGGAGTGGGGAGGGTTCACACGCTCCATATTGCTATGTTAGAAGGTCCTTAAAACTCTTTATCAAAATTATTCATAAATTGTATTCTGCATTTTGAGAAAAAATGAGAAGCATCATATATACATAATAAGGAATCAACAAACTTACTGATGATCAGCAGCCCAGCACAATGCTGCTTGAACTTGTGTAACGAATCTGTCCAAAAAGCTGCTAATTGAAGGATGCCTTGAAGGAAGCTGAAATTTCAAAGAATTTTTCTCTTTCTCCAGTTCTTCCAGTTTCCGTCTAAATTTATCAGCTAGAAATTAAATATTAACAAAAAAAAAGTTATTTAACAGTGACAAGAAGGTTCCATTTTACCTAAGAGAAGAAAAGAGGTTGATCAACAAAAAGTAAACTCCACCTTACAGAGAGTTCTTCCCCTTTTGATAAAAATTTATCAGTCTGTTTTGCTCAAGGATGAATTACTAAGACTGCAATGGAAAACATCAGATAACCAGGACGCTAAAGCTACTTTCTTTTATGACAATGACAAAACTGCAGGCTTCCCAGCACTTTCACAGAGTTAATTCAGTAAGGCTCCAAAGAATTGGCTCAAAGTTGGCTCATCTGTGCTCTTTTCCTAGTGTAACAGCTCTGAATTCAATTCTAAGAAAACTCCTACTCTTCACTGCTCCAGTTTTAAAACAATCTTAGATTGCAGTTACGTATTTAAAGTCCAACCTTTTAAAAAATTGCATTATTAGGTCAAGAACTGAAGAATCACATATGATATCTCTGCAACGTATTTCTAGCAGAAAATGCACATGCAATTATAGCAATTAAAGAATTATCTCATTTTAGGCTCTCCTGAATTATGTTTACTTTATCACCTAACAAAAAGATTTACTTTCAATGTTAAATAAAAATAACAATGGTCCTTAAGAGAGTGCTTTGACTCTACCATAACGCTATACGTTTCTTAGAGTAAACACTCCTCTATACAAGTTAGTTCCTCCTTTGTTTTCTTTCCCTGAGTAGAAAACAAAGGAACATATTTCCAACTACAAATTATTATTTCTGGTACGCATATTCTCTATTCTCTATAGTGCCACTACACTAGCAAAATCACATACCTAACAGATAACAAGCCTGGCTGGTCCAAGCCAGAACACCTTTGATGATACATTAGTCAAATCAGAGAGTTTTGAGCTAGCCCGCAAATGGAAAACCTTTACAGTTCAGTACTTTCCTCATGACCTCGCTGCCTACAATTTTGCATGATTAGCATTCCTTCCCTTCTACCATTTTCAATATAGCATGTTACTATCAGAATAACATCTATCTGTGCATGCTTTTTACTGCTTATTTTCTTTCTTTATCCTCAAAGGGGTTTTAAGAAGAGGGGTTGTTTACATTTGCTGCTTTAGTGAAATGATCCATTTTTACAATAATCTATCATTAGCATTGATCTCCCTTTTGCATTCTGAGGTGGAATAAAGACATAGAACATACTAGCAAGACTAGATTTCCTCCCTAGGCCAGCTGACCACTCCAGGATAGTTAAACTCCTGTTGTTTTTGTTATTAGGGTGCAAAATGCTGCCAGAAGGGTCTTGCTGAAAAGATCACCACCCAAATTACTGCAGGGTCCAGGCCTTGCCCCAACAGCCACAGGCACACATGTGCATACTCTTCTTGCAATGGAGAAACACCTTTTCAGCAGTGGAGGTGAACCACACCTGTGGTGTGTTTCTCAGGGACCACAGCTGAACAGATTCATCCCATCACCACAAGGAAACTGGAATTTGGGCCCAAATGAGACTTCTGAGCCCATGCATTGGCCAGAAAAACATATCAGCATTCGCATTTCGCATGGAGTTTCAAGCACAGCCATCAAAAACACCACCGTTACACACAGAAAACTAAGCATTGGATTGCGATCAATGACCACTGAACGCCAAAACACATGGAAACACCTCCTTTTACTCAAACCATTCACCACTGGGCTTCCTGCGTTCCCCGAGTGGGAGTTGTGGCAACCCTCTACAGCCATTCGATGATGCTGTCATTGTTCTTTGACATAATTATGCTCACGCTGTACGCATGTGTCCAGTTGTTTCACCGTTCTACTCCTACCATTCCTGGCCCTAGAAATGGGCTATTTTGAGAAGGAAAACAGATGAGGGGATGCACATGCCAATTCATTCTCTCACTAATTCTTGGCTGCATCCTGCTTTATATATTCCAGTCTACACAGAATCCAATTAGTTTCTACTAATAGATGTTTCTAAATAATTTGTTTCACTGGTAATTTAAAAGTACTATTGCTGGCCACATCTGCTCATCACCTCTCAGCACTAAATGATGGTTTACCCTTTCAGTATTGCAGTTAGGGGTTACATCTCAAGAGACTCCACCACCACTGAGCTGAACATTATAGCACTCAGCTTTTAAGTTCCCTCTCCGGGAAAGCAGACCCCTCACTTTGACCCGGCTCATGTCTTCAGTGGATGGGAGAGACCAAGGCACCTCAGTGACAGCTGCAGAGCAGGGAACCATGCAAATAAGGCTTATCTCAGTCAAACTTTCAGCACTGCACCTCAAGAGAGATCTGGATCAAGCAGAAGTAATGGAAATGATCACAAGTCTAGCAAACAGGACATGAAAAAGATGTCAATAAGCGTGGTTCCTCAATCTGGTGGAGATAAAGACAGAGGGGAGTAACTTCCAGTACTCTTATGTACCAGGAACCTGCAAAAAAAAGCATTAATATAATGCTTTTCACCTCTCCTCAGAGCTTGAGTCCTCAGTAACAAATGTGACTTGCAGTAAAGGAGGTAAGGAAAAACATTAAAGATAGCAGAGCACTAACTGTTTGGGATGGCCAAGAAATCTCCACCAATGTTGGTTTTCAGGTCAAACAGCTCTCAGGAATAGCTCTGGCACAGTTTTTAAGGTCAAAGCCAGCAAGATCAAATGTGTTCTCCTGAGATCCCTTCCCATCATTTTTTCTAGGATTTTTCCAGCCAAGCAGCAGACACAGGTGGCCTTTGCTGGTCATAAGTCATCAGACTCAAGGACACTACTTTCTTTTACCTTCAGTTTAGTCTTTTAAACACATTATTTCAACACAGAAAAGACCTTCACAAGATCCCTGTATTTTGTTGCTAGCTTGCTGCCTTGCAACAGTCCTACAGATACCCTAGACGAAGCTTCTACTTCAGTGCAAACAGCAGAAGTCAACACTTAAATTATTCTCCATCCCAATCCGTTATTGCCTAGTGCACTTCAGCCATCACGCTCAAAGCCAACCCAGGGTACAGGCCTGGAAGATGCTGACTAACTGCTCTTCTCATTAAAGATCATGTTTTGTAACAGCTTTGAGCAAAGGAAGCAATTTCCGTAATTTTTAATTGACCATGTAAGAACATCTGGCTACCTCTCTACTTTTTACATATTCTGATACTAGTTTTATTCCCTTGAAAAGAAGGTTCAACTTCAATTTAAAAAACATTTAAGAAAATCATCACAGTACAGGTAGAATATCATTTGCTACATACTGCATATATTTATGTTTATTTATCTCTGCTCTTTGCTGATAAGTGGGAAGACAATCAATCATGCTATTCCACAAATTGCTGGACATTATGGAAGTGTTTCTTGATAGTTCAACTAGAGAAGGCCATTTGATCCTGCCCCACAATCCTGTAAAAAAAAAAAAAAAAAAACAAAAAAAACACCAACCACCACCAAAACAAAAAAACCACACAAACCAACAAACCACAACATTCCCGCACTTCCCCCCAAAACACAAAGGATCTAAACCAGGACTTGTGTGGGGTTTACACATGTAAATCACACACTGCAGCCCTAAAATCTTTTTCTTACTTGCTAGATACTTCCAGAGCCAGGTAATCTCCCCAGCATTCACTTTCTTAAAAACTTAAAGCTTCCAAGACGACTGAAGTGTTTTTGTATGCTCAGCAAAGATATTGTTAGCTATTCTGTAAGAACTAAAGAAGTCCCAGGTTCAAACGCAGTCTGTCTTCTAGCAGTCTGTCTCCAACCGCACACAGGAGCGGGCCTTTAGAGAGGAGACTAAGAACCAGGGTGCAAAGTGCCCCGTTACCTTGATACTGCTCCTGAACCTCTAATGGTTGTCATTAGACAGGAAAGACTTCCTCAGAAACACACTACTCCTAGAACACTTCACTGCTTTGAAGGGAAAAGGAGAAAGAAAAAAAAAAAAAGAAAAAAATAGGTTAGGTGGACACCTATCCACCAGAAACTTCTCTTTTCTCAGGCTATCTATGCTTGGTGTCCAAAATATACTACGACACAGAATTTCAAAATGGAATTATGAATTACATAAACACATACCAATTTGGCAATTTTAAACCTAAACTCTGATGATATTATCAAGTGTTTCTTTTTTTTTTTTTTTTTTACTGTAAACAAAACATTTCATCTTCACTTTGCCTGCACATTAATAACTTAGGCATCATCATGTTCAAATTGCACCACTCGTTTTCCAGGACAGAGACACTTACATTAGCTAAAGCAATACTACAAAGGCTAGAAAGTGAGGAGTCTAATGCAGAGCTTGAATACGTGCCTGAAATGCAGCTGGAGAACAGACTAGTAAGCAAAGTGTCTACAGCCCAATTACTAACATTGGCCTTCTGCAAAATTACTTGCAGGAGAACATGTAGACCCATTAACATCCAAATACGATATGTAAAGACATATACTGTGATCAGAAATGAAGGCATTACAAGCAACTGGAGTATGCGTGTGCTCTCAATTTAGGAATAATTAACTATTTAACAGTACCAAACAGATACACAGTAGAAGATATTCCTTGCAAGTCCTGGCACACTGGATTCATGTCAAAGGGAGCTTCAGATTACATTTTAGTTGTACAGCTAGCACTCACCACGTGCAGTCTAGTCACTGGTACAGAGCAAAACCTTTTCTACCTTCCATTCAGCCCTGCATATGGAAACCAACAAAATAAACCCAGTGCAGAGTCAAACTGGACCCCTGGGCCAGGCTGGCTCCAAGAAGGCATGGGGCTGGGGACAGACACTGGAAGAGCCCGTTGGAATGACAGGAGCAGCAGCTGTACCCAGAGCTATGCCTACCCATCCGACTACGTGGACTAACAGGAGCACATCTGCAGAGCAAAACAGTTCAGCACTGAGCAACCAACATCCATAATTCAGAGGGTCTTGCTTCAGACTAAGTTCAGTGCAGTCCCATAGACCGAAGGCCAGTTAGCAGTTGGAGCCCCTCGGGTACACCTCTAGAGCACATC